GTGACCAGAAAAAACAAGCGCGCGCGGGAAAATAGTCTTTGCATTTGCTCACGTCAGCAGCGTACACCCATGGGCAAATGGGGGACGCTAAATTGACCAATCAGAGCGCGCGCTTTACTTTGGTTATGTTAGAATTACGCTTCTACGAGGATAATACTGGCATAATGCAATCTGGCATTGTACCGCCAAGGAATAGTCTTTTGCTTTTCATGCTTTTATTGCACCAGCAAGAACCAGCTGTTCTTTCTGTTCAGATACTGAGAGGGATAACTATGGGTCTACTGCTACATGTACTGTCAATTATAGGGCTTTAAACCAATCAGGACGCACGCTGTATCTCACTCATTTTATAAACTAAAAAAGAATTTTGCTCAACCTTTCATTGAGTTGAAGTTTTTCATTACTCAGTTTGACTTTTATCAACTTTTTCATGAACAGTCTCATCGTAAATCGGGGCTTATTTGTCCACAACCAATGGTAAAATTAAGTTCAGTTGAGTCCAGACTCAAGTGGTTTTTAAAAAAAACATATCTCAGCTTCGACGGTTAGGTCTTGATCCCCGCCAGAAGACGCGTAGCCTCTGCCCAGTGTTGATTTCTTTTCTTTTTTTTTTTTTTTTCTTGTAAGTATGTTATCGTCTGCTATTCTGAGCAGTATTCTGGGATCGTTAGAAATTAAATTTACGTAAGCTGGGAATTACGAAAATGCCCCTGGAAAAGAAAGCTAAATTTTAAAAAAGCTTTCTCAGGGCAACTCGACCATTTCAAATCAAATTTCGAACAAAATTTAAGATTCCTTTTAATTGCATATTTACATGATTGATTTTACACTAGTGACTGATAAACGAAAAACATGTCTCTGCGCGTTTTGCAGGTCGTCCGTCGGCTTTCTCCTGTTACGCTGACCAAAAGGATCGCAGTGTGATAATCATTGTCACGGAACAACTCAAGGAAACGTTAATAGCGTGCTGAGCATCTTTGAGTCTGATTGAGTCACGCAGAAATCTACACAAATGAAGGCTCGAAATCTACTGTTTTTATTTCTCCTCTGGTTCTTTTACCTCACCCTTGGAGTGCTAGTATTCAGAGCTGTGGAACACGACGGCGAGGAACAGCGAGAGAAAACCAAACAGCAACAGTTAGTGGTTATCAAAGACAAAATAACATCCGCGTACAATATGAGCGAAGCAGAATTCTTCAACATTGTGAAACAAATTGAGGCAGCTTCGTCTTCAAATGGCGGACCAGAATGGAGCTATCACGAATCTGTTTCTTTCGTGATACAACTGGTGACAACAATAGGTAATTAAATGACAGATTCAGATATCATAGAAACCGCGTAGAGCAACCCTAGTCATAAATGTTGCGTAATGCTGTAAAAATTGTGAACACCTGTTAGTTCTTAAGTATTCGAGGCTGCGCAAGTAACGTTACACATCTCTGAACTACTGATAAGAACTGACTTTTGTGAATTAGCATTTGTGTTGAGGTATTTGTTCGAAGAACCTGTCAGTTTCGAGATGACGTAGTTGTCTTCAAACCCACTTCCGGGAGCTATTTCTAGAAGTTTTTCGTGCTCACAGAAAACATTAGCACAGCTTGAAATTTTTGATTTCAACGAATGGAGACTTATAAATTGTTAAGAATTGATAACAATTTATCAAGGCTCAGTGGGGCACCCCGAATGTATTGGATATTTTGCAGTCACGCGACATTTCTCTTATTCAATGACACCATTGTGTTACGAGGGTCATAGGCGTGCTTGCTTCGCGTTTCTGATTTGTTTTAAATTTCTGATCAAGCCACCACAACGAACGAAGAAGAGTCTAGAAATCTTAACTTGATTTCATTTTATCGTATTCATTTATCAATTTTTTTAATTTATTTCTTTTTCTCGAGGATATGGAAACATTACTCCGGTGACAAATGGCGGCCGTGTGCTCTGTATAGTCTTCGCCTTCTTTGGAATCCCGATAAACATCCTGTTTCTGCAGTCGGTTGGAAAAAGCCTGCGTGAAGTCGAAAAATTTCTCATCACAGAATTTGAAAAGCGCTGTCTGAAGAGGAATGAAGAACCGAAATTCCTAAATGAAAAATGCTCTCTGTGTGCAGTTGTGTTCTTCTTTAGTTTGTTACTTTTTTCTGCGGCTGTCCAACAAAAGATTGACGAATGGACATTTTTGGAGGGTTTTTATGCCTATTTCATCACGTTTACAACAGTAGGATTTGGAGATTTGATACCAGGAGGCAGTCCAACAGAATCTCCAGTCAGAAATACAGTAGTTCGTATCGTATTCATCATCCTTGGTTTAGCGGCCATGTCGAATGTACTTATTGCAGTTATGGATTCGACTGACTGCCTTAAATATTTGAAAACTTGCAAGATTTTTCGCAGAAGAGGAGAAACTGTTGATATTCCTGAAACAAAGGAAGGCGGTGGTGGAATAGAGTTAACTGATTACCGTAAGGAAGATCCGAAAAACAACGATTTGGAACTTGTAGCAGCGATATGAGTTGTGGATCTTTGCTCACATTATTTTAAAAAAAAAGATAGAAAGTTTGTTACTGGCTAACTCTGCTACTGGTCCTGCTAGCTAGGTTGAGCGAGAATTCTGTGGCAAACAACAAGAATCGAACTTCTTAATAAGGAGGCAAAGGGAATTCTTTTATATCTTCCTGCTTCCATAGCGCACTTTAGGTAATGTAGGGCATGAAATGAAAATTAGAGCTCCTTTTCGCATTTTTCTGCTAATATTCAGCCAACATAGCACTTGGATCTTGCGCGTTCGAGCATTTTAAAATCAATTTTGTACATTAAACGTGTATCCATGTAATTTAGTATATTTATAACTATAATAAAGTTTAAGGCTCGTCAGTAACGATCTCTGTGTGTTTTGGTCTATCAACTAAGTTGAAATTGTAAATTGGCCACCGTAACGAGTTAAAAAGCTGACGTTTCGAGCGTTAGCCCTTCGTCAGAGCGATTGACGAAGGTTAACGCTCGAAACGTCAGCTTTTTAACTCGTTTCGGTGGCCAATTTACAATTTCAACTTAGTTGACAGACCGTCCAAATTACCTTGTCACCCCCACAGACGCAGCACCACAGTTTCTTTAGAAACTTTTACCCTTCAATCATTGATCTCTGTGTGAGTCAAACAATTTTTGTTTACTAGCGCCAAACACATGGGTAACCATGAGTGACTCCCTTTGAGTATGAAGGTTTGAAGCGTTTTTACAAGGAAAGTAAAACAATACTACGTTGATTAAATGCGAATATTAATATCGCCCTTAATTAGGCAGCCGTAGCGTCACGGTTTAAACATGTTAAAATTTCAAGTTCTAAATTTTCAAATCATGTGAATCTTGAACAATCTTCTTTTTGGTGTGTCTATTTGTATCTTTACACTGTTCGCCTTGTCATGCCAAGAATTCCCCGAAAGCAAAACCAATATTCCTCTCCTTTAAATATACTGTGACGTAAATTGAAAAAAGATATCCGACAACAGATGTTTATCGCTACAGTTTATATATTAATAAAAACGAATTAACTATTCAGGTCATTTTGCCACACTACACAAGAAGCTTCGTGTCCATTCAAATGCATGTGAACGAGTTAACGGAATAATTAAACGCCATCGTAAGAGAAAACTCCGAGATGGCGCAGGGAGAAACAAACCGAGCGTTTCTGTATTTATCTCTTGTTTGGTTCATCTATCTTATTGTTGGCGTGTTTATATTCAGAGCTGTTGAACGCCCCGATAGACCAAACCCCGAGAAATCAAAAACACAGCAGTTGGAGTATATGAAAGGCAATATTACAGCCAAATACAATATGAGTGAGACCGAATTTGACATCATTGTGAAGCAAGTTGAAGCAGCTTTGTCGGTTTCTAGTGATGGACTGGAATGGAGCTATCACGAATCGTTATCGTTCGTGGTTCAACTGGTAACAACAATAGGTAAGTTGTTGATTTTTAAGGAATTCCCGCTGATGTTATTTCCCTTCTCTCCCAAGACAACATTAACTGCTTAAAATTTAAAAGGCTTAATTCTGAATGCTTTTAGTCCTTTAGAATATTCAACATCTAATATTCCATAGGATTGGGACGATTCCAAAATGTCGATCGAAGTATCTGAGCGGGGGCGTTCACTCAGAATTGGAAATGTATCGTGTTATCTTAAATGTACCTTAAAGCATCTTCTTCAAACTGAAAAATTATAGAAAAAAATCCGATACTGAAAGTTCCTGTTTTCAAAAGTGAGGCATGCATTATTTCTGAGCGCAAATGAACTGTTGAAGCCTTTGATACTCGTGACCGCATTTTCAAGTGGCCTTCATTCATCGTTTAGCTACAACTCTGTGGACGGACCCCTAGAAATGTCAAGCATCAGTTTTCATTTCACCAACTGTGTAAACTTTACAAACATCTTCATCTAATAAATACCCCCTTTTTTCATCGCGTGACTTTATCGCTCAGAAAACCAAGAGATTTGCTGTGGTCACGCAGCACCCGTGCAACGTCACGTAACTCTGATACAAATCGCCGTGTTACAGAATAGACCATTGTAATTTTAGGCCCGGTTCAAACGTCGAACTTTACATGTGCCGAACCTAATTATTAGGTTCGGCACATGTGAAGTTCGACGTATGAATCAATTAGGAACGGCACTTTTGTATTTGGGTCGACTCTGCCGTTCTATTCGACTGAGCTAGTCGAATAGAACGGCAAAAGATCGGCTTCGATTCATACGTCGAACTTCACATGTGCCGAACCTAATGCATACATTATGCATACATTAAATTAGTAATTTTTTTCCCACAATCCCACTAGTTTTTACGTAGTTGTCATGCGCAAAAGACAACATTCGAATAAAATGGCGGGGAAAGAAGAGCAATGTTGTTCGTCTTGCCTAAAAACTACAAAGTATACTTGTTTGAAGTGCAAGGAATATTTCTGCATGCCCTGCTCCATCTTTGAGGACGATGAAACTGTCATTGGTTGGAAAGCGGGGAGTTCAGTGGCATATTGCGAGCCATGCTTCAAAGAAGTCATGGAAGAGAGCGAATTAAAGACCGTGAATGTTGTAGATGACGATTCTGATGAATCCCGCGAAGATACAGTTCCTGAGAAGCAAGAAGAACGACCTTCCACTAAAAAAAAATCGGTGAATGGAGATAAAAGGAAAAGGTCAGTGTACAAACAATACATCCTCATGTATAGTTTCGAATATGAAACAACCCTTACTAAGTATAAGGTATAACATCACGTGGCAATAGAAGCAAAGTTTGCTTCTATTGCCATGTGATGTTATACCTGTGATCTTTAAAACTTGTTTCCCACCATTAACAGACAAGTTAAGCAGTTACTTACAAACGTTTGTAGATGAATGTTAATATAAGTAATGCAGTGGAATATAGCAAAAGCAGATATTTATATGTAGTGGATAAGATATAAATATATATATTATTATTGTAGTACTAATCATCCTTATTGACCCCCAAAATGGCTGCCTTATCGCATGGTTGCAAACTAAGAATTCTTGAAAAATATTTCGAAGTAAAAAGGATGCTTTCCTCGCCTGATGGAAGTTTCTGTCTCTATATAAATGGATGTTTAAACTAGCAGATATTCTTCTTGAGTGGTATTTTCCCTGCTGTTGTTATGTTTTTTAGACACTATTTTATTTGGCTATTTCACTTCAAATAACCTGTGCAATTCTATCCCCCCTTTTGACCATTTTCTTAAGCTCTGCAAAAACACTTGAGCTTATGCACCCTCACAGTTCAATAATCTTTTGAGTTATTGAACAATTCACATAAATCTTTCACTTATCATGATCAACACTGGCTAAGCCATCTCCGAAAAGGAAAAATATTTTGGTTGAATAATAATGTATGTTATTGTTATCATTACCTCGATGATAAAGTGTGTTATTGTTATTTTTCTGCCACTGGTAGGAAACAAATGGCTGAATCCGACGATGATGATGAGGTAGAAGAGGATGAAAGTGATGGAGACTCGAAAACATCCCGCAAACTTTTCTTCAAAAAAGCAAAAGGAAACAAGAAAAAGAAACCTGGTCGCAAAGCCAAGTGGTGTCCACGGGTACTTGATGATCTTATAGATATCATCGTGAGTAGCAACTCATATAAAAAGAAACTTATTTTTACAAACACAAAAAATCAAAGAAATGGAGAGCTGTATGGAGAGATTTTGAAAGAAGTTAAAGCTAGAGCCTCTGCAAGGGGTGAAAACTTCAATTTCTCTGTTAATCAGTTGCGTAGCAAGTTCAAAAAATGTGTCTGCGTGTGTAAGCAAGCAGCCCTGACACAAAAAACAGCAACTGGGATCAAAAGATTTCAGGAGGATCAAGGATTTGGCAAGTGGTTCACTGCTTTGTTTGAAGTAGTGAAGACAAGAGAATCTTGTCAGCCTGATTTAGCACTGGAACCCTCAGCCTCACCTTCACCTAGTGATCTTTCGGGAGAATGTGTGGATGATAGTGCCAAAGAAAAAGAACTATTTGTTCCTGTGAAAGCAAAAAGAAGGCAGTCATCTAAAGAGAGATTGGATACAGCAACAATAGAGGCACTGACCCTTGTAAAGGAGGCTGTTCAAAATGACCCCACAAAAGAACTGATATCATTTATGAAAGAAGAAATGGAAAAGTCTAGACAGCATGAGCTCAAATTGTTTCAGCTTTTGCTCAACCAAAGAAGTGAGGCCAGCTTTCACAGCATTCCCTATTCCAGCAATGAACACAGATATAACGCAAATTTTAGCCCTTACCCAAGCTGGCATAGTGGTGCACAGGCTATCCCAAGTCACCCAGGATCGAGCATGCCTGAATGGTCCCCTGGGGCACCTTATCAGGATGCAATGGGATTAGACCAAAGTTTTGTTGCTACACCTAAATACACGCGGTTGTGATGATCACGCATAACCCCCTTTTTGTGCTTAATGATATTACTCCTCTGTTCCTGTTAGTATTTTTTTCTTGTAAAAAAAAAGAAGCAAGTCGATGGTTAATGTTTTGCACAAAGCTTGTGAATTTTGTTAGGTAATAAATTCAAAAGTTCATGTTCAAAGTAAACAGTTTTAATATTGTAAAAGCAATTTTTTACAACACATTATTGTACAGCTGTAGGGAAGTGTTTGCTTTTTTACAGCACATGTTCAATCAGTGATGTTATAAACATCTGATGATTAATATAGTTTGGTCAATATGATTTGGAAAACGCAATGAAAATATATAGTTTATAAGTCAATGTCATTTAGTGAATTGTGTAAAACTATTGGAAGAAAATGGATTATTTAAGTAAATAATGAATTATTTAATTTAAAGGATTTATTTAATTTTTATTTTCCTTCATTGAAAACAAATATTCCATTTTAGATATTATGTACATGTATATTGAAATCGGTTTGTATTATTTACTTACCATGACAAATTATGTGACATGGATCGAATAAATAACAGAGCACGTTATCATCATTTTTATGGAAATAATATTGACTTTTTTTGGTTTAATGTATTTCCTTCCACCTGATATTTAAGTGCACAGGACTTATATATTGTTCCTAAAATATCCATACCCACCTCATTGAGGACAATTGCACTTTTTGAACAGAAGAGATCCTTAAATGGCCCAAGTTGTTGAAGGAAAGTATGGAGACAAAAAGGGGAGTATGGATATTTGTGGAACAACACTATGTAAAAAACCATTTTTAGTCCCTTTATGTGGGTAGTGCATTTCCTTCTACACCAATGATGCTCTCAATCTGCTTAACTCAAGTACATCAATACTGCAAGTGGTACAAAATGGTGAGCCTTAAAAACTTCTAGCAAAACAATATAAAGTTCAATGTTTTGGGATATCTGTATTGAATGTTTATTGGAAGCTAACAGTAAGAGTTGCTTGACATTATAACCACTATGGGTTCTTTTTGTTAAATTTTTGACACTAACACGCATTCATCAAAGAGCTATACAAAAGACACTAACAATCAACTCATGAAAGTACTGCAGTCCTTTTTAACTGTGGGATTGATACACTACAATGTAGTAAATTTACCTTGACCATGAAACAGTTTGCAGTAGGTATGTTTAAAAGAATATTGAAGTGTATCGGTCTAGTATGGTCTTTTGTTTTGACTTAAGGTACATTTCTTTCGAATTGGCCCTTCAGAATGTTACATTCTTTTTAAGCTATATGCACGGGTGCTAAATACACCCCTAATTACTTCTTGGCTATTGACTAGTCCTCAGCCCAGCAGCAGCTAATTGGGGTTAATCTAATTGTGCAGTATCTGTTTCATGGTCCAAGCATAATCATACAAAAGCCAGCACTACTTCAGCATCATTAGGGATACTCACAAATTCCACCACTATCAAATAGATGTAAAGTTGACTAAATGTTTCACAACTACTCTGATTTTGCAATAAGTTGTGAAAAATGAGTGCTACATGTACATGTATGTATTGGGAAATTTGTGAATATACCAATGCCCCCTTAAACTAATAATGGACTATGTAGCAGTTAACAAACTTTCCCTGTTTGCTTCTCAAGCCATAATTTTGCACAAAGTGCATCTCTGACTCTAGCTGCCTCATAAGAAGCATCCTTTAGGCTTGGGCAGTCGCTCATCTGCAGCAACTTTCTCAACTCCTCCCTGTCCCTCTTTCCACCACTTTCATCCACAGATAGATCAAGCTTTCTTGAGATGGCATCTCCCTGCATAATACAAATATTATGAAGTACAATACATGCTAGGGTGGTTATGCGGACTTGATCTCGGCTGGTTTCACTTTTCCGGAGTAGGACTCTCCACCTACCCTTAAGTTGGCCGTATGCAGCTTCTGTGACCATGCGTGCTCTACTCAAGCGATAGTTGAAGTAACGCTGCTGAGGTGTCAATACAGCATTGGTAAATGGCTTCATTAACCAAGAACGAAGGGGGAATGCAGAGTCTCCAACAATGAGGGGTGGGACAGTAATTTCACCCACATCTTTACCAATTGTTGGAATAAAACCTTCTTGTATTGAGTTCCAGAGGTCGGTGGAACGAAAAATTACAGCATCATGGGAGTTCCCGGGGAACCCACAGCTGCCCCAAACAAATCTGTAATGGGAATCTACCAGGCCCATTAGTATTATGGAATAAAAGTTCTTAAAGTTATGATANAAATCGATGTTGGGGGAATTATCTTAAGAAAGAGAAAAAAAAGAGGAGCAATCAAGTGATCCAGGACTGGCCGTTTGAAAAGTTAATTATATGATTTAAAATACACGACTGTTAAATTTTTTTGTCCTCTCTCAAGGATATGGTAATATCACGCCAGTGACTACAAGTGGCCGAGCCCTTTGTATGATCTTCGCCTTGTTTGGTATCCCGATCAACATTTTGTTCCTGCAGATGGTCGGAGAAAGAATGCTGCGCTGCGAGCGACTCCTCGTTACGAAATTCGAATCAAGCTGCCTCGAGAGAGAGGGCGAGCCAAGACACTTGAATGAAAAGAGTTCTTTTTTGGGTCTTGTGTTGTTAGTGATAATATTACTCGTAGGGGCAGCAACTACGGTAAAAGTTAATGACTGGACGTTCTTTGAGGGTTTTTACGCCTTCTTCATTACTTTCACAACAGTTGGATTTGGCGATCTGATCCCAGGAGGCGGCTCGACAAAACACCCCGTCTCGAATACAGTTATTCGAATCATTTTTATCATTCTGGGTTTGGCGGCCATGTCGAATGTTATCAACGGACTCGTTTCAGTACGAAATTGTAAAGAGTGCAAAGTATTTTTCAAGAATTTAAAGGCTCGGTTTGGAAGAAAACAAGGAGATGAAAATCCTGAAACGAAGGAAAAGATGGGAATGGAAATAAACGAATAAATCGAAAAGCATGTCGAACTTTAAAGAACAAGGATGTAACTGGTGCATGTTGATTATTAAACTTTAATTTTTCAAGTTTATCTCTTCCAGTCTTCTCCATTCTCCGCCACCCTTGATCCTTCTTGGTTTATTATCGCCTCTTTTGTGTTTTCTATCTTACTAAACCAATATTTTCTAGTCTCTTTTAAGCTAAGAGGTTTTTTGTTCGTCACAAACAAATTGACCCAGGTTATCTAGGCCATGATCCATTGTACCAGAGATACGAAGTTTTTCCAAAAATCGACCAAAATTCAAATTTATCTCCGCCACATAAAAAAGTGTAAATAAACATTTACTCGCTACTTACCGCGTTTTGATATTCCAAAGAGTAACTCAACAGCCTGAAAATTGTCTTCAAATGTGTTAAAACTTCAAGCACGGGCGCCGCCAATTTGAAAGCTTTATCACCCGGTCAGTTGGCCACATGACATCCCAGGATTCAACTAATGGCGGGAACCAGGACGCGCGCACCAACAAGGCTTGTAACCCGGTTTTTCTGAACGGCGGGAGGGGGGTTTTAAGCCGCTCAAATTGCATGCGTCAAAAACAGATTCGTTTTAAAAGCTTTTTCCTCAAATTTTGCCACCTCAGTCGACGGCATTTTTGACAATCCAACAAAAACAAACTGTGTTTACCCTTCAATTCTACAGAATTAGATGTGTTGTTTGTCTTAGATAATTATCATAAACTACCATTCAAACTTCTTCCCACAAAACTTTATGTAGTCGGTAACCAAAACCCTTCGTGTACGTTTTATTGTTAAGCTATAGGGGGTATCAAGAATAACATGATGGTATTAATATATGACTCTAGACAAATCTAAGAAAAATATATGCGATTGACAACACTTTCAAAAACTATATTCTAAATTAAATCTAATTTATTAATTTTGCCAAAGATAGCCATCTCTATCACATCTGGTTAACGCATGAAATATAATCGGAAACTATGAAGCATAGCCAATGCTTTTATTTTAAAAATACTATATTCTGAAATAAATTGATCATTTTTTCCTGAAATAGCCATAACTTTTTTAAAGACATTTCGTTATTGCATAAACTTTGATTACAAACTATCAAGGATCGCGAAATACTGTTAGGAAATAAATGAAGGAATACTTTTAGTATATATTATGATAATAATCGTCTACAAATATATCTCTAAAGCTCTAGTAAATTATTAAATTAGGCATATAAGACGCTTGACCATACGAAATCAATGAAACAAAAACAAAACAAACGAAAAAAAACGAACAAAAATGGTTCGACTGGTGTATGTTATCATATGAAGGATACAACTGAGAAAGACACATACTGATGGCGACTTCCACCCATGAAGTCGCCGTCTCGCAAACTGACAGCGGTCCTTTTAAGGACTACTGTCACCATGACAACCACAGGACAGTAGAAGAAGAAAAGGATATTAACTGGTTACACCGGTTAAAACAGGCTTGACTCAGAGCTGTCAATAAGTTTGAAAGCAGAAGTGTTATTTCGTCTGACCATACGCGAGACTTGGAACTATCCAGTCAAACAATCCACGAAATTCACACGAACCTTCAAGCAACTTCTTACGTTTGGAATCGATTCACGCATCTAAACCTGTTACTGGTAAACTATGCGTTCAATTACACTAAAAACAGGAAAATAGCTGCTAAGCAAATTTTGTCGATCATCTGCACTTATAACAAAAGGAGGTGAAAATTGTCGAATAGACTCGGCAAAGTAGCCAGTGATTTTAGCCGCCCATTTAACCGACATTTACTGAAAGCTCTGTAAACTGAAAAAATTCAAATGGAAAAGAAAATATAGAGGTAGAGCCCCACTGCAAGAATGATGACCACATTTATGTTGAGGAATGTTTCAGCTCTTGGATCTCGTTTCAGTGATGTAATCATCGCCAGCCGCTCGTGTTGTTCATGAGCTGCTTTCTTTGCTTCTTCTGTTCCAGCCTCGTAACCGCAGAACCAAGAGTACAAACGCTTTATCTTAGACTCTGGTGGATGCCCTAAAAGGCAGAGATGACGTGTGAAGTCGGCAACAAGAGTGCACTAAATAACAGTTACATTGTGAGCTTGAGATTTTTAGCACGCGATGGTTAACGAGGGCGTGGCACAAATCAACTATCACGTGATGGAAATCGAGAGCGTTTTGCTTTTCTATGATTGGTCCAGAAAACTCATGCCACTCTCTCAACCAGTCAGATACAAAACTAACCGTAATCACGACTAGGTCAAGGTCATGTTCTGCACCCGCGTTTCAGGCAGTTCGTCTTCTTCATGCAAATGTTTTGGGCTCATTTTAACTAACTCCTTGTGATATTACCTTATTTTCATTATATTAGTGTTGGTTGTACGTCAGAAAGTCCTCTTGCGTGGGCATATTTACAAACTGGTGCGCAAGTAATGTCTTCGAGGGTGATAAAGTGATAATTTCCCCACCACGTTAGCAAAATGGAAATTTAAAGGTCGGCAATTAAAAGCTTAAATTCAAAGGAATGACCTGAAAGTGCAGCAACAAAAAGAAAAAAACAACATCGACAGCAACTGACAACTTCAAGTGTTAACTCACTCAATGGTCTCAAGGTCACGGTCGGTGTTTCCTCTGTTGCGTCCTTCTCCTTGTCATCCTCTGCTTCTTTCTCCTCTATTTCTTTCTCATCTTCGTCAGGAATTTCTTGCATCTCAATTTCTTCGTCCCTGGCTTCCTCCATAACGTCTGTGTCTGATGGCTTCTCGTGTAATGTCCACCACGTCAAGCGAGCAGTCTGGGGTTCAGTAAAACTTTAGTTATTACGGCTTTACTTTGCTCGATGATTGGTTCAAAAAAACTCACACGACTTTTTAGACCAATCAGATTCAATAAATCGCGACTTGGGTCACACTCGTCTTTCCGCGCTAAGGTTAGGATTAGCTTGTTTTTTTCTTTAGTTCTAATCGGCTCCATAAGGAATTTTCTTTGCCTCAGTTGGTTGGAAAACACTCTTAATAAAAAATAGCCGGCATTTTGACGCGAAAACAGTTTTCGGCGTATATAATAGTAAGTAAATAAGTAAGTGAGTAAACTCTTAATTTAAAGAGGGCGGCATTTTATGGCTAAAAGGCTAAAAAACTTGTGACCCTCGCCCTGTTTTCTGAAAGCAAAGCTTGAAATCAAAGCATATCCTTGCGTTAACTGGACGCCCTTACATCTCTTATCTTTCAATTATTTCTCTTGTGTCTGGAACAAATAGTTTAGGCCAAGTGTGAAGAAATTGGTGCGCAACTGAACAAAACTGATCCATTTGCGCATGCCCATCGTTTGACAGCTGAGGTCAGTAAATTCTACACTCCAGTGTTCTACTCACATTTCCTTCAGGCCTCGGCTCGGTGAAGTAACTAATCACCACAATAGTGAAGACTGTGAGCCAGAAGAGAATCAGTGCGAAGTACATGTAGTGAACCTTGGCTATGATGGACGGTCGAGTGTCCTCTTCACCACAACGAGGCTCCAAGTGAGTGAAGTCCAGGATCATGCGTATTGCGCCCACAATGAAGCCTACGATCATACCCCAAAATGCACCCTGAGATGTGCGCCAAAAAAAAAAAGACAATAGTGAGTAAATCGTCGAAAGGAGCAACCGCAGAAAGCTATACGTTACCGCTGTTCCCGTGTAAATCTGTCCCGCAAAACAGGTGCAAACATTTACTGCCAAGATTTTCCTATTAACCCATACTTCTTTATGCAGGCAGTTCTTTGATAGATGAAAACAAAGACGAAAACAATAGATCATCTTCGGGACTACGGCTTTGCTTTACAATACTATGGGGATATACGGAAATTCTTCCAATTTACTCCCTTCGCTCGAAAGAAAAGCTGCGCATGCGAGTCAAGTGAAGCAGTTGTTATCTTCGTGTTCAGACTCAGTCAGAGTATTTATCCACGAATCTTCTACTGTAAAAGAAATTTTTTAAAGACTACCATTTTTTCCTTATTAACCCCTTCACCCCCAGACATCAGTATGCATATTCTCCATACTGTTCTCTATACATTTCCTAAGGAGCTGACAAAGAGAATTTGTTTAACAAATAAGAGCTTCTTTAGTTGGTGATCGTTTCCTTCATTCCCGTTACTTTAATGTTTGATTCAAGGGTGATACTGTAAGGAGAATTTAGATACTTGTCACTCTTACGGGTCAAAGGGTTAACTTGGTCTCACTTGTTGTGTTTGTGATAAAGAAAACAAGCAAGATGATTAACCTTCTCCGTTGCCTTCGTCCAAAGGATGGAAATCAAATACAGGGCTGCGATTGGCGGGGAAAAATACGCACTGACAGCTTGGATGTAGATGAAAAGCTGGCCTCCCTGTACACTCTGAACCACAGGGATCCACAAGATTCCTATACCTGTCATTATTGCGACCATGATCCTACAAGATCACACAGATGTTACGAATGAAGACACGGGAAGAAATGGTTCCGCGCAAACTGCACTTTAGGAGCCATCGGAGATCGAGATCTCAAAGAATCGAGCCTTTTTAAAACGCGCAACTCTATCGAAAGTACGCTACGTTTCATGTAGAAAACGCTATTTTTCGTCACCTGGCTTTTATCGGGTTACCAAAATCGCACAAAAATTTGGCGGATGCGCTCCCATCATGTGGCTATTTAACTCAGCATAGTAGCTGGGGTGTCACTATGCTGTGAAGGTTGGGATTGGAAATACTAGGGAGACAGTAGCTTATTAAGCCACGTTAAAAAATCTTAGAGAAATCAAGTATCTATTTCAATTTTATAACACGCCAGGTAACACAAACATTTTGATTGGTTCCTTCCTATGATCTATGAGAGGATAGAGGCACAGATGCCGTCATCATTAACAACATTTTGCTTCCTTGTCATTAAAAATAAATAGATTCCAGGTCTTATTTCACATAAGAAACCATTGTTACCTTCCCACAATCATGAGCTCCCTAACTGAGGCCTGTTTTCGAAACCTGCCGTACACATCAATAGTGAAGAGCGTACTGGCGCTGTTGAAGATTGACGTCAAGTCACTCATCAGAGCAGCCATCATTACTGCCATCATCAATCCCTTGAGACCTAAGACGAAGAGACCACAATTCAAATTCTCAAAACAAATTTTAAAAAAATAACTTCAAAAAGACAGGGACTGTGACTTTGGAAAGACAATGATACAAGGGTAGTGCTATTCAAAAACATGTCCAGGAAAGTTCATATTTGTTCATATCTGTCCTGTTTCAAATCTTATTTTCCTTGATTCAAACTCATTATAGAAAGCTTTTCGATGGAGTATCCTTAAACCAAAATCAAAGTAACCACAACAGCCAATTGCAATACAGAAAATATCACCAGGAGCTAATCAGAACTCGAAGAAAAAAAAAGCGCGGTAAAACGCGTGTGACCAATTAGTTTTGAATCTGATTGGTTGAGAAAGTGGCTCGAGTTTTCTGAGCCAATCTCATAACGAAGGACAGCAAAAACAAACCAATCCCAGATTACTTTAAACGCTCAATTGAAGACTTCTGCAATACATTTTTGGCTATCACAATAGGTACTGCATACCTCAAAACCTAGTTTCTCTGAAGCTTATCCTTAACTTTCCTAACCACCTAACCACAAAGCAGCAGGGAGCATAGTTACCCCCCCCCCCATCCATCACAGCTTCCCTTGGGGATTTTTTTTAGGTTTTCCTGACAGTACACCAGTACTCCTGGGTGGAGAGAGAGGCACTGTGAAAGATAAGAGTTTCATTCAAGGACAACACAATAAATGAGCCTTGACTTGGACCCAGACCTCTAGATCCAAAGAATGGTGCAATATACGTAAGATGTAGGTTGGTAACCTTATTCCCCTCATACCTACATGGAATTAAACCACAGCATCTCCACATGCATCAACAGTCACAGCTTACCGGTCGGCAAGAGCTTGAGAACAAGCTCTGGATATGCAATGTTGGTGCAGCCTACTTCACTTCCACAAATCTCCATGCACTTTTCTGGGACACTACATGCAACACGGTCTAAATATACAACCAAAGTAGAATAATTGTAAGAAAGCCTGGAGAATCAGGAACTTAAATCAATACATAAATGCCATACTAGCTAATACTCGACAAGAATTATCAGGTTAGAAAATGTTGATGTTATAGTGATGACGAATGTCCAACATTATGAGGATTCCTTGAGAAAATTGAGAAAACAAGAACCAAAATATACAAAATCTAAACAAACACAAAAACCAAACATTAAATTAGCCTCTCTTGAGGCACTTATGGCATCACTTTGGCTTGTATCATGTGATATGGTTGCCAAGATTAGTATCAGACTATAGCTCTTTTGTTTTCATGAGTCCCATGGCAGGGGGATCAAATTCTTCTAGTATTAAATGCCACAAAAAAATGTAAAAAGAGCAGTATGGAGAATGTATACACTGATCTCATAGCATAAAGTTTAGATAAATTCATTCAAACCCCCTCTCCCTGTAACCTCCCCCACACGCCTCCCCCACCCTTACCTGGCGACAGCACCCTGCTGATCATTCCTGGCATTACCAGGGTGAAGAGAGGTAAAATCTTAATGTAGCTAGCCAACAAGCAGGCTCCCTGGGCATGTGACAAACTCTTGGCAGCAAGAGCTCTTTGCACAATGACCTTGCAAAACAGAAAACAAAAAGTATAATACTGGGCCAAAGGGTGGTCATTTAAATTTACACAACCTTTAAAAATTTTTAACCTGTTGCAGGCATTCTGTTAATTAAACAGAATGAAATAGTGAATAGAATGAAAATAAAAGCAGAGCAAAAATGAAGGAACTTTAAATTAACTTGACCCAAACCTCCTGTTTTGTTTCTGTTTTGCCACTACTATTGTGCTCTTAATTTTACCTCCATGTTTTGTTTAACTGACTGATTGTCTAGAACAGGCCATAAAAATACATGATGCATGAGAGTTAAGCAGGACCTGGTTTGGCACTCCACTTGGGCAAAGTTCACTGATAAAGGTTTCTCCAAACAGAAAAAGGCTAGGATCAAGACTCAGTCCTGACGAATTTGTGGCTATATAGAGGTACCATTAGGAGCTGGACCTTGAACCGAAAAATACCTCCTCAGTTTGTATAAAACTTCAGAATCCTTTGATAACTGAATTGGTTTATTTTCTTTAAAAATATTTTTGAACAACAAATTTGTTTTCCCCTGTAGAGAGTAGACAGTTTTAAAACCAATGCTCCTAGTGTCAAGTCCACTATTCACAACAGTCTAATACAGTTCTTTCAGTCTATATCATGCTGACATTCCCATATATTGAAGGTGAACAAAAAGAGCATTATCTCGAGTATTAAACCAATAGTCCACTTTACAGTTGTGTGCTTGGTTTCCAAGCCTTTGAACAGGAGCGAGACTAAGGGTGACCTTGTTTTGATACAGATGTTGCTGCTTTTCAAAGGTAAATTACTTTGTTATCATGCTAACTACCTACTGGTCTCTATCACAATAAAGTCACCTTTAGCCTACTCTATATAAAAGGCTTGGCAACTAGGAACACAACTGTAAAATGCGGGCCTATTGATTAGACTCAAACTTTTCCCAGCTAGATACAAAAAAATTCTACAAGACATTTGTTGCAACACAAACCTGATCTGCACACCAATACCAAATTGAAGCAATTGTCTGTCCAAAAATGAACCCTGCCCAAGGCATGTCAGAGTTGACAGGATCCCGTAGCATGACAAAAGCATCATCCCTTGGCCGGCCACAGCTGCTGTTTGAGAACAGGGTATCATTTGAGACTGCCATCATATATTTTTCCTTCAGACCACTATAGCCACCAACTTCAGCAAATCCTAAAAAAAAACAGCAAATTAACACTAATCAAGTTATTGGTTCTCTGGAATTTATGATAACTTAAAAGCCATGGTTCTTGAACCTGCAATTACTTGGCCAGTTTCACTTTAACTCTCCTCAAATGTCCTGCTATCCTCATTTTCTCTGTCTGTAATGTTAGTCACCGACCTTGTTTTTTTTACACTTGGGCCATAAATCTAAGCAGAAAAAAACTTTGTTCATAACTTACAGTACAGACCTTTAGCTCAGTTACTGGGACATTTTTTAGCTCAAATTCAGGGTCATCCTCGGTGAAAAAACCTGACGAGGTTTTCTTTGTTTCATGAGGTATTGTTTTGCTGCACACTATTGTTTAGAATGTTTTGTTGTCTTTGTTTTACATCACTCGTGTGCTTCACAGGTTTTTACACCGAGGATGAGCCCAAATTCACCATAAATCTTTACCAAAAGATAATTCATTACTGTATGAAATCACTCCTTGATATCAGGAAAAAACAAAATTACCAAGTCCCATGACTGTCAATGATCCAGTTACCATAAGGAAAGTACAAAGAGTGTCCGTGTAGATCACAGCTGTGAGTCCACCTGTTGAAATACCAGAAAATACTCTGAGTTGGTTATTATATTTTACTATATAAACTGCAGTGTTTTACAAGTATTTCCACCCCTGAAAAAAGCCATAACTTCACACATGTAAAATTAGATAATTTTCTGAGTATTTGATATTGCCAATTAGCTACTGACACATCACAGACCTTTTGCATCACACTTGTTAGTTAAGGCTTATAATGTTAATATAATGGACAACATATACATGGTTGTCAGTAAAAAGGCATTTTTTCTTCTTGTGTTCTATGCAATATCTCACTTGCTTGTTTACTGCAAATGCTCACTCATGAGACATGGATTGTTGAACACTCAAAGATAACTTCCATATCTACATGTACCAATGTATTATTGTTTAATACATAATAATTTTATTATCCGTCTCAGTCTCCAGAGTGACCAAAAAACAATTTTTCCCTACAATTCTGATAACTCCTAAAGCAGAAAGGTCGTGAGAAGTACGAAAAAGACCCAGTTGAGGACATTTTTTGGTATAAAACTAAATTGTTAGTGCTAGTTTTACAAGGAAGTATTTTAGAGAGTGCGAAGAACTGATATTTAGAACTTAGGAGTGAAAGGCTAATGAAACAAGAAGACGGTTTTGTCAAAGTTATATACTAGCTCCTCTACCAAAGCAAACAATTTTTCTTTCTTCTAAATATTAGGTACAGATTATTCCAATCAGAAAAGCTTGGAAAAAAGCTCAAAGTCTACAGCCTACTGCCAGGCCTCTAAAAGCCTTTTGGGCTTATTCTAACAGGACACCCAGCCACTAATCCACGCATGGCTCAATAACTTAACTCTCTCAGGTTACCCATCCCTTGAAACAAAACAGAAAAATAACTATCGACCTGTAAGAGTACAGAGACAGGTCATTCCCAGCATCAACAAAATGGCCAGATACAGGTTCCAACCAAGAGCCAAACGGATGAACAAAGCTCCAGAAAATAAATTAACCTGAAGTCAAAGAAAATGAAAACACATTAACAAATTTTGTACCAAACAGCAGTCACTGAGTTTAATCTAACAACTCACATAACTTCTTTGCCGGATGATTGAAAAGTTTTTTGATCTAATCAAAATCATTGTGGTACATGATTGGTTAACACTATCCCGATTTGAGCTCTACTGTAATATGACAGAGAATAGTTCATACTTCTAATTGGACAGTTTAGTCAGACAGTTGATGCTTTAACAGTATGCCTCATGCATATGTGTACATGCTGTTGTTGTGCATTCCACTGAGTTAACTGTTCTTTCTTTTTAATGAAAACATACAACCAATGGTTCATACTTCTAATTGGACAGTTTAGTCAGACAGTTAATGCTTAAACAGTATGCCTCAGGTGTACATGTTGTTGTTGTGCATTCCACTGAGTTAACTGTTCTTTCTTTTTAATGAAAACATACAAATAATGGCTAGTTTGTTTAGCAAATTTTGTCATAGTTTTGATTTATTGGAAACATAACATTCTATTGGTAAGCTTACTTGTGATTCACAAATCAGTCTCGCAATTTTGTTTCACACTGGTATGGTTAAAGATCAAATTGAACTCCAGTTAGTCTTATTACCATTAAAAATTTGGAAATCTTGGATAAAAATGTTTTCACCAGCATATTCAAAGTTTCATGAAGGAATACCCCTAAAGAGTTATTTTCCCTTTAGTTTAAGCCCTTTTCAAATTATTTATTTGATACAAGGCAAGTATTCTGGACCCATCATTTCCTCTTGCACCCTTAAAAGATGCATACCTCATTTAAAGTATACCACAGATGACATCAACTTACAGATATCTTAGTGAAAATGTATAGTAGAAGAGACAAAACTGAAAGCCACATCCTAAGTCTTCTTCCTCCATAGCGACGGGAAATATACTCTGGAAGGGTACAGATCTGTATACATCACAAAAAAAGAGACAACATCATGATTTCACTTAGAAGTGACTACTATCTAATTTCTCCTTACAATATCACCCCTAAATCAAACATTTAGGTTGTGAAAATAAGGGAAATGATTACCAAATAAGGAAGTTCTTGATTGTGAAATAGATTCTCCCTGTCAGTCCCTTAAGAAATGTATGAAGAACAGTATGGAGAATATCATTATGCATAATGATGTTAGGATGAAAAGGGTTACCAGTAACTGCAATGGCCCATTACAACAAGAGTATATCTTGACACCAATCTTGTCAATCTCCACCCTAACATCGGTATGCATATTATCCATACTGTTCTCTATATGGTTCCTAAGGTGCTGATTTGGAGAATTTGTTTCACAATCAAGAATTGCTTTAGTTTGCGATCATTTCCTCGATTCTTGTGATCATTCAGTCACTCAGGAGGTTAATTAAAGGTTGACTGATTCAAATGAGTCTAGGTATGTAATTCATGAGAAAATGGATACAAATTTTTACTCAATTTTCCTCCAATACTTACATCAAATTAATAATGTAGAAAATCTAAAAGAAATTTTGTGTTCATTGTTAAGTCAAAGATCCTCATTTTAGTGTACAGTAACTATAGTTCAATTTAAAAATGTGCTGTTTACCAAAACTGTCATATGCAGCTTCAAAGTTTTTTTAAACAGCCTTTTGCATTAAAATTGTTGTTTATTATGTTGCTTGTATCAAGCAATGGTGAAAGAAAAATGATTAGTCCCTGACACAATTGTCTACTTAATTGGTTCAGTGAAGCCATTTCAGTCAAAAGATTTCCTGAAAACAATTCCTATTGCAGTGGAACCTCAATTTAACAAACCTCTATATAACAAAGTCCTCAGTATAACAAACGATACTTCAGTTTCAGCCCAGCTAAAGTTACAGTAAAATGTATGCCACAGAACCTTGATACAGTGAACCAGTGATATAACAAACCAACTTCCCCAGTCCCTTGACACTTCATTAAATCAAGGTTCCATTGTAGTAGAAAAGGCCATTTCACAGAATTCAGATACTATAGAAGACTGAAAAATTTCATTACAAAATCTATTTGGATGGGCAGAAAAAATAACTAGCTATCAATAGCTTGTTCTGTTAAAGGGAAAAATTCCACATATTTTGACATAACTTTTGCTTAATTCTATGGCGACTACTTACCCCACCGGCAATATAAACTGGTAAAAACACCCAGCCAAGCAGCTGAAGAAGAATTATTGCCTTATAAAAGAACCAAAGAATAAATCAGTGGTTTCAACAAACTCAGTCTATCCCATGCTTTTTGTTTGTAAATTTGCCAACTTTTTTTTAGTTGAAGGTGGGAGAGCACAGCCATATCAGAGTCAATGCAAGGCATGTCTTAAGAAACTTGCCCTCTGTTGTAACATGCCCTTGGTATAATATGGTTATTCCCTCGATGCAACATCCTTTGTTTGCATTATAATTATTATATGCAATTCCTGTAAAAAAAAAAAATAGATATATTCATACTGTGTGAGTGAGTACAAAAACTTTCGACAGTTGTGCTGCAGAATAAAACTTCACTTTTAAAAGAAAGGCTGTCTTGTCCACAAACTTCTTCATATCTTGGTGCTAGTAAATCACCACATGAGGAAATACCCTCTACAAGCAAGGTCTTTGCTAATTTACAGTATTGAAAAGCTTGCATATTATTACAGATTTTATCCACATTTCATCTAATTAACTTAACAAATTAACACCCAATAGATTATTTACATTGAATTCAAATGCTCCAACTCCAATTCCACCAGCAGCTCCAGATCCCGCCAGTCCGATAAAATGTTCGCTGCCAATGTTACTTGCAAAAAGTGACGCACCTACCTATTTTTAAACACATTATTCTTCATTAATATAATAATTATACTTAAGATAAGGTAAAATAATATTACCTTTCACCTCACTCTGAAATCATTTTTGTTGTTGGGAACCTCTATGCTCCAACTATTTTGGTCACCATGACAAACAGAAAAAAAAATACAGCAACTGAATTTTCAGCAAAAGTCACAAAATTGGTGACCTGCCTTCAATTGTCAAGAAGTAAGCTGTGAAGTTTTCCCTTTTTAATTTTCATAATCTAAAGTTAGAGTGAGATAAACATTCGCATAGATCATTATTAGTCAGTGCAGCTCCTGGAATTTTAAAAATCTAAAGAAAATCTAGTGTTTAGCCAAATCCAAAAAGTAGCTCTCTCTTTGGTAAACATAAGCTCACTGACTTACAACAAAAATAATTTTAGGGGGCTAGGTCACAAAAAACCCCTGTTAAGAGACTTAGTCGAAATTTTGATTATTCAGAAAAAAATGTTACTGAATGGAACAAAAATGACAGGAAAACCTAACAAAAACATGAAGCAGGGTTTTAAAGCCTGTTTTAGAAAAAAACAAGATAACATTACATACTGGAAGCCAAGTCATAAATCTTCCAGCCAAGAAATAGCCACTGACAGTCCCACGGTTGGACTTGAACATAGCCTGGAAGAAAATTTAAGAAATGGATCTAGTCACCATGATTCAGAAATTAATTACTGTTGTGAAGCATTGATGAATATATTTCAAAGTAAAATAGTGAATACTTAGATTTTACTGTTTCCCATCACTTCTGTTCTAATATTGGACTGTCAGTGATTGACACAACGTAAATATGTTACTAACAGGAAAGCAAGTAATTGATGAAAGAGGTCAGTAGTAAATCAATCTGGGAGAAACTTATGCACAAAGATAACTGGTGAGAGGATCAACATTTGACAATTATTGGACGAGGTTGAGCATGATAGTGATAATTATCAAGGTCAAAGTCTGTGTTATCTGCTAAAGTGGAAGGCTGAGGTAGATAACACAAACTGAGGCCTTGATAACTATCGATTTCATGAGAAAACCAAATCCAATAATAACAATAATAATAATAATAATAAAACTTTATTTCAGTGTCAAACTTCTAGCTAGCCTGTAATAGGCTTACTAATCGGGGACACCATCCTACTAAAAAGTACAATAATCTTTAGAATTTACAAACTTCTAGCTAGCCTAAAATAGGCTACTAAAAAGTACGATAATCTTAATTTCTTTTATTATGCATATTCTTGAACTGCACTTGTAAAGACAAGCGTGCATAAAACCATTGTCCGTAGATATGACGCCACTTCTATGAATATAAAATCTATTGTCTGTAGGTATGACATAAGGGAATGTATAATAATGTCAATTCTTGGAGCCTACAACTCATGCATGCAACCTAGAGCCTTGATGATTATTTGTGACCCTAGACTAACAACTGCAAATTTCAAACACAATTAAGCTTCCTTCAAGTCTGTGCTTGATTAATTACTGTCTAAAATAATTGCAAAGTTTTAATGATACTTTTGCATCTAAGCTTTTACAAGAAGGATGTGTTCTGTTTTATGTTTCACTAACCTGTAAACCAGATATGAGCCAGCATTCAGTGTTCATTGAGAAAATGCTAAAAAATCATGGACTCCTCTTTAGTTTTAAGTTGGAAATTAAAGCAGGCTAAAACTTTATATTGAGGTGTTTACATTTTTCACCAGCTATTCAAATGTTTTTTACATGCCATTCAAATGTTTTTCACATGCCTTTCACGCAACAGATTTCCCATGGATATGAAATTGTTTATTGTCAGTTGTCACGCAATCGCCCCACATCAAATTATTCCAAAAGAACCAATCATTTTGGTACATGTCGGACACTTGTCAAACCTTCGCCCAAGTTGTAAGGATATTTTTGTTTTAGTTTTAGTGAGCTCCACTTGATAAGGATCTTAACATTTGTCTTGAAATAAGCACAATCGATAAAACAAAAGATAACATGGTTCACCAATTATGATTCATAATTTAAGATAAGAAAGAAGAGTAACTATTAGAGTCACGGAATATTTAAAATCAACAGGTGCTTTGAAAATTCTGTTATCAAACAAATATAAAGAAGTGAGATAATCATATGAATTAAGCGTGTTTGATTGTTTGGTATTCTACTCCGCCGATGAAAGGAATTCGATCTCAAATTACGGTAGATTAATATGTAAACATTAGATAGACGCGTTTGCAATGAACTCTTGCTCAAAAATATATCAAAGAACAACAAGGAACTTGTTGAGGTTTGACGTATCTCCATGCAGTAAAGCTCAATCAGAAATAAATGTCACCTTTGAAAGGAGAAGGTGTACTATTTTGAGCGAGATCTCATAAAAACAACTAATTAATCATTATTATTATTCTTTATGGCCGAGAACACGCTGAAACCGCGTGAACAAAGGCGAAAATGGCCGAGAGGATTATTCCATTAAATTACAGTTTTAGCGGTTTTAAACCTGCAAAACAATTTGAAAGTGTAACATTCATACTCAATTGAGCCGACTATGAAATGAAAATAGCACAAGCGAGCTTAGTGTTGGGCCAAAGAAACAGCTGAAGAAAGGCTTCGCAACGCTCAGCTGAGATCACTTCAGATAAACAGTGCAGTGATATGAGAAATACTCACGAAAAGTCCAACGCCCAGAATGACAATAAAATACAGCACAACTATCACAATGTCCCATGCCTCCAGTCCGGGCGGTTTGTATTGAGTTTCAGCCATATTTGACACCGCCTAGCTTCGCCTTAGACGCAACCCACACTGGGTTCGATGGATGATCATTCGAATGACACACTTCTGGGTTTATCTTTTTCTGGAGGTCATGAAGTCACGGAATAACAACGTTGATTGGCCAACAATTGTAAGTTGGCGCCATGAAAGTGTGTTCTGATTGGTTCCCGGAGATAGAGAACATTTTGCGTAACTCGCCCCCGAGGCAGGAAGATTGTTTATGATTGTTTCCGGCAATTTTTGATGTACTGAGCTGTACCTTTTACTTTTCCCTGATTCATCGCAGGGGCGGATCCAGGAATTTTGGGGGGGGGGGGTTCAAACTTTGGTTCAGAGAGAACTGTTGGACTCTTTTGAGGCAAATTACTTCTCCCCAACACCCCCCACACCCCTCCCACCAGTCGCGGTTGCACGTTATAATTCCTTGGCCGCTTACCGTTTACTTGGATTCATTAAAAAAATCAGCCCGTTAAAAAGTGATATACGATCCTGTCGATGTAAGAATTTCAGTCTCAAAGTTTTAAGCGTCAGGTCTGATAGGGGGGTCCGGACCCCTGGACCCTCCCCCTGGATCCGCCACTGCATCGTCCCGCTGGAACCAGGCATTTGTCGACTTAGTTTTTTCTTAACTATTTCATATCTTTCTGAAGATAAGACGGAACTCGTAAGAAACGCGGCTTCGATGCAAAAATCGGAGATTCGAAATGAGTTTGAAAATCTTCAAGGTTCATTTATTCTAAAGGATGGCCTGCTACAATATATCGATCACGGAAAGATATCTGTAGAAGCCCATACTATTCTAAAACAAAACGGAAGTGTCAGCGTCGCCATCGTTTTAATTTTGCTGGAACTGTATGCATGACAAGGAATGGAAGTGTGCAGAAATCTTGTCTCTGTCACGCAATTCTCCATGTTTCACCTCTTCATAACGGAACATAACTGCACTAAATCTTACCCAGCCAGATTCGCCCATCTCCTTAAAAGAGATATCTCGAGATCTCAGGGACTGGTAGATAGTTTATTTCTTATCGTGGCGTACGTTGAACTCGACAGGGACAAAGCGTTTCCTGGAAACGCCGTCACTCAATGGGCACCAACCGGGCACGGTTTCAAATAGACTACATGCCCGGTAGTCAGAAATTTTCACAAATCTCGGTTAAAAGGTGCTTCCAAAATTCTTAAGAATACGCGATGTTTGTTTAGAAATGTCAAGCGATTCCAAAAAAAACAAGTTGGTTTTTTTAGTGGACAAATTCTCCGTTCTTGTGCATACCATCATGATAAGAGTTCTGATCAGACTTCCGTGAACCGTCTCAAATGGAATCACTGCCCAGCAGTCAGAAATTTTCACCAAAATGCCACGTACAACTTCACACAAACCTGTTGAGTATGTTATGTTTTTTTTTACTTTTCACAAATTTTGGTTTTTCGCTGGTCAATCTTGAACGTACTAAAACTCATGCATAAACTCGGTGAATTTACCTTCGCGATGCGTCACGCAATACGCTTGGAAGATGTCACATATCGTTTTAATCTGAGTAGATTGTCCCTTGCTACCAGTCATTACTGTTGAGGGCAAAAAAAAGTGTCAATCGCATTAATGTACTCTTTTTGAATTTCAGCTTGGAGTCGCACCTTAAGTGTGTTCTCAAAAGTGATCCACGACGTCTGGTGCAGCTTCGAAGCGCTTTCACTGATCTTTTAGAAGGGTCAAAAGTTAAAGGTTCAGAAACCCACAGATAAACAAGGTCAAGTTGTAAATTACGGCGAGCTTTGGCATGGAGGGGAAAAAATACCATAAGTCTTGTGGGAAGGCCAACAGACAGAAAATGGGTCAATATTACCACAATTTTGGTCCAGGATCTTTATCTCTCTCTTTATCCGGGGGGAAGGGGGAGGCGGCTGTTTCGTGTGTGTGTGTGTGTGTGTGTGTGTGTGTGTGTGTGTGTGTGTGTGTGTGGGTGTGCGTGCGTGTGTCTGCACACCTGGTCCCGGTTGTTCAAAGGATA